TTAGAAACCCTGTAAAGGGTCACAAAGGTTGGAGCTGACTCCATGGCACATAACAACAACAATGCTACCAGAGCTATTTCCGGTACTCCACTTGTTGTTGTTAAGTGCTATCAAGTAGATTCGGATCCATAGCGACCCTGTATAGGGTGTCCAAGGAGCAGCCGGCGAGCTTGAACCACCAACCTTGCAGTTCAAACAACTTTGCAGTCTGATGCATTAGCCCACAGCGCCACACTAGGACCCCAGGACTCCACTAGAGCGCCTTATATATATTGTTGTTGTTGTTGTTGTTGTTGTAATTGCCACTGAGTCAATTCCAACTCATAGCAGCCCTGTATAGGGTTTCTGAGGAGCAGCTGGTGAGTTTGAACAGTTGACCTTTGCAATTCAAACCGATCTTGAAGTCGAATGTTTATGGCACCCCACCAGTTGTTGTTGGTAAGTGTTATCAAGTTGGTTTTAACCCATGGCAACCCTGTATAGGGTTTCCAAGGAGTGCTGGGGAGCTTGAACCGCTGACCTTGTGGTTACAAACTAACCTTGCAGTCCTGAGCATTAGCCTGCAGCGCCACACACCTGTAGAGACTCTTTATTAAGTTTTAATAAAGATTAAAGACAAGATAAAACAAACACATCATCTGGATGAGGGAAATCAGCATGACACCATGATGAAAATACAAAGTTCCACCCCTATGTAGCAACCTTTTATATAGCACAGGGAGCAAATCACCTCCGCCCACAACTAAAACTGAAGACTACAATAAACCACATTTGCATGCAAGGCTACAGAAGTCAGGAGGGGACTGTGGTGGATAGGAAAGTTGACAGGATTACCTCTGAGGCCCTTGGGGCATGTCATCACAATCATGTGACACTGGCAGCCTGATTTCCATTAAGGGGCATTCCCAGGGAAGTCTGAGGGGGAAAATGGCTCACCTGTTCTGGCTAAGGGAGTGGCCTCAATCAACAATCCCATTTTTAAATACATTCTGCTGCTGACTGCAGTTCAGCCATCAAATGTGCACAAAGTACTCAAGAAAATTGACATCTGAAACTTAAATCAAGACATAAAATGGAACGAAGGCTGCTTTGGCCCTTAGCAAAGTGCCCTCAGATTTCAGTCCCTTAGGCAGGAGGGAGAAGGATATATAGGTTTCACCACACCCACCCACTCTCATTGAGTTGTTTCCAATGTTGATTCCTTGCGGTCCAGTTCTTATCCTACAGTGCCACACAAGGTCTTCGACACATATAGCGACCCTGTATAGGTTTCTGAGGCTGTAAATCTTGACAGGATCAAAAAGCCTCCTCTTTTTCCTGCAGAATGGCTGGTAGATTCAAACTGCTAACCTTGCAGTTAGCAGCCCAACATGTGACCCACTATACTGCCAGGGCTCCTTTGTGACGGAGTCTATATGAGAGAGTAAAACTGTTTCTTGGGATTTCAGAGACTGAAAATCTTTATGGTGGAAGACAGCCTCATTGTTCTCCCTTAGAGTGATTGGTTGTTGGGTTTGAGCAGACCTTGCTGTTAGTAGCCCCATGCTTAGCCTACAACACCCCAAGGGCTATGACATATAGGTGGTTGTTGCTATGGAGATAGTTTCGCCTTATAGTATCCCTGTATAGAGTTTCTGAGGCTGTAAGTCTTATGGAGGCAGAAAGACTTTCTCCTGCAAAGCAACTGGTGGGCTCAAACTGCTGAACTCATGGATAAAAGTCCAGTGTTTATCTTACAGAGCCACAGTGCTTGTCCTACAAATAGGTTGTTGTTGTTAGGTGCCATTGAGTCGGTACCAACTCATAGCGACCTTATGCACAGCAGATGAAACACTGCCCAATCCTGGGCCAACCTCACTACAGTTGTCACGCTTGAGTCCACCGATGCTGCCACTTGGCCAATCCATCTCGTTGGGGGTCTTGCTCTTTTTCTCTGACCCTCCACCTTACCAAACATGATATCCTTCTCCAGCGACTGGTCCCTCCTGACAATATGTCTGAAGTATGAGAGACAAAGTTTGGTCATCCTGGCCTCCAAGGAGCACTCTGACCAACACAGATATGTTGGTTCTATGAGCAGCTCATGGCACTTTCAATATTCTCCTTCAAATCATAATTCAAAAGCATCAATTCTTCTACAGTCTTCCTTATTCACTGTCCAGATTTCACATGCATATGAGGTTATTGCAAATACCATGGCTTGGGTCCGGTGCACCTTAGTCCTCAAGCTGACATCTTTGCTCTTCAACACTTTAAAAAGGTCTTGTGCAGCAGATTTTCCTAATGCAATACATCATCTGATCTCTTGAATGCTGCTCCCACGAGTGTTGATAGTTGATCCAAGAAGGATGAAGTCCTTGACAACTTCAATCTTTTCTATGTTGATAAGAATGTTGTTTATTGGTCCAGTGGTGAGAATTTCTGTTTTCTTGACATTGAGATGCAATCCATACTGAAGGCTGTGCTCTTTGATCTTCATCAGTAAATGTTTTAAGTCCTCTTCACTATCAGCAAGCAAGGTTGTATCATCTGCATATCACAGGTTGTTAATGAGTCTTCCTCCAATCCCAATGCCACGTTTTTCTTCGTATAACCCAGCTTCTTGGATTATTTGCTCAGCATACAGGTTGAATAAGTATAGTGAGAGAATACAAGCTTGTCGCACATCTTTCTTGATTTTAAATCATTCAGTATTCTCATGTTCTGTTTGAGCAACTGCCTCTTGGTCAAGGTACAGATTCCTCATGAGCACAATTAAGTGTTCCAAAATACTCATACTTGGCAATGTTGTCCATAGTTTGTCATGATCCACACAATTGAAAGCCATTGCGTAGTCAATAAAGCACAGGTAAACATCTTTCTGATATTCTCTCCTTTCAGCCAAGATCCATCAACAATACTATCCCTTGTTCCACGGCCTCTTCTGAATCTGGCTTGAACCTCTGGAAGTTCTCTGTTAATGTATGCTTGCAGCCATTTCTGATTACCTTTAGTAAAACTTCACTTGCATGGGATATCAAAGAGATTGTCTGATGATTTTGTTTTATTTTGTTGTTGTTGTTTGCTTACTTATTTATCCTGCCCCTGAAAGGGAGCTCAGGGATGTTGGTGAGTGACAAACTCCTGGAAATACCCAGATGTTAGGGACCCTAGGTCTCATATGTGTCCCCAGGTGGGACTGGCTGTTTGAAGACTGGGATGAGGAAGGAGCTCAGGAGAGTTGGGCAATCTCACTCTTTCCCAGGGAGGAAGTGACAGGCTTATTCACAGGGCGGGTCACCTGATGACTCTCAGCGAGTCTGGTCTCATCTAAGTTCTTCTCAGTGCTGTGGAAGGAGCTGACTCAGAGCCTCAGAACTCTGCCCTTTTTCCTTTCTGTCTTTGATTGGGTATCCTAGACTTTCCTATCCTCTCTAGGAAGCCAGAGTGAGCCTGAGTGTTCTCATTACTAGGGGGTGGGGTGGGGGGATGCCCTCTAATGAGAGGAGGGTGAAGACAGAGGAGATAGCAGTAGGGGAAGGAGTCTGACCAATGAGGGGCGAGCTGCCTGCACTCTGACCTGCTGGAGCTGGGACAGCACAGGTGCCACAGGTATTTCTGAGTGTGAATGTGAGTGTAGTGTGTTTCTCCTTGAGAAGTTCTCTCCAGTCTAAGGGATTAGACTCCATTACGTTAGAATGTTAACATGGTGGAGAAAATTTCCCTGGGTTCTCTTCCTGAGCCCTTTCTTCAAATAAGAAAAGTCTCTGTTGTAAATTATTTCAGATGAGTTTGGCTCTAGTCTTGTAGCCTCCTCACCTTATCTCCTTCTCTGTACTAGTCCTTTCCATGGGAATTTGAAATCTTATTTCTGCAACAGCTGGATCTTGCTTGCATTTTCTTTAAAAAGGGACATTAAGAATCCTATATTACAGAATTAATGTGGGGATTAAATAAGCTCACATGCTAGTGTCGACACAGGCCTTGCACATAGTAGGCATTCAATGAAATTGAGTTGTCCAGAGTAATAAGAAGGAAGGGGTGTTTAGCCTCATTACCTATTTGACAAGCACTTGACTTGTGCTGAGGACTCTGAGGTACCTGGCCAGGGCCCTGATCCTCAGGATGTTCATAAAATAGTGTGAGGAGGTGGGGGGCAGTGGGTGTACCAAGTACAAGGCTGGGTGCTCCAGTTTGGAAAGTGGGTACAAGCATGGTAATTGTCAGTATCTCCCCAGGTCCACAGCACATGCTCTCCTCCTTGTTGGTGTCCGGGGACCACACGAGGATGCTGCCAAGGCTTCTTGTCTTCTCCACTCTGGGTCTCGGTGCCTGGGGTGAGTTTTCTTTCACTGGATCAGAGAGCAAATGAGAAGAGTCATTCTTAAGTACCATAATAGGAATTCTGCAAGTGCTTGTGCTTAAAGAGAAAGAGTGGTTTTGCATTTAGGACTTAGAGTCTATAGACCTGGATTCAAACCTTTGCCCTGCCTTTGACTGTGATTTTAAACAAGCTCTCAGCTTCTTTAAACAATAATTTTCTTTCTATACACCTCCTACTACCACCTGGAAATTGTGATAAGATCTATGATTTCCTAAACTTATTGTGTAGAAAGAAAGGCTTGGTGATTTCCTTTTGAAAATCAGCCAATGAAAACTCTATGGATTGTAAGGATCTGATCAGCAACTTCTCCTGGGGATGCCATGGCAATTGGCAGTATTTCCTTCCATTATGCATGGGGTCATCATGAGTCTGGGACCAACTCGAAGACAGTTAACAACAAAAACAACAACAATAAACTGTGAAGTTCCAATGAGAAAATGAGTGTGAAAATTTTAGCATTTGGGCAGTTAAACCCAATAAGCAATGACTGTATTTGGATTATTATTACATCAATGATGATCCAATATAGGACTTGATTTTACACTTGCAAATAAGAGAAAGCTCCTTGAGACACACAGACGTATGATTAGCCCAGGCTTCCAAAAGAAATCCTGGAGGGACTGACTTGATTCATGCAAGTAATTGGAATTCCTTCTGTAACACTTCTCCCCAGTGCATCTATTAGTTTGAGAGTTTACCAAATGGGCTTTGTGGATTTGATGAGTCTGGCTACATTTCCAGGTTTATTTGCATCAATTACATGTGCAGATGCAGCAGAAAAGGATACATTTTCTGATTATTTAGTTGGCTATATATTATGTTGCTGTTGTTTAGTTGTAGTCAAGTATAGTGGTATTGGTTCTGACTCTTAGTGACCTTGTATAGGATTTCTGAGACTTTCATTGGAGCAGAGAACCTCATCTTTCTCCCTTGGAGTAGCTAGTAGGCTTGAATCACGGAATTTGTGGCTCACAGTCTAGTGTTTATTGTATGGAGTCACCATACTCCCCCATATATATTATAGCCAATATAAGGTCGCTATGAGTCGGTACCAACTTGATGGCACCTAACAACAACAACAACAACATATAAGGTTATATATCAGCTACAATATTGCTATTTAACAATCATCCTGGGGGATTACCTAGGGTTGTTGTTGTTAAGTACTGTAGAGTTGGTTCCGACTCATAGTGATCCTGCACAGGGTTTCTGAGGCTGTAAATCTTTATGGGAGCAGAACCCTTCATCTTTCTCCTACAGAACCTCTGGTTGTTTTGAACTGTTGACCTTGAGGTTGGCAGCCTGACTCTTAACCATGTAGCTCGTCTTGGAAGTGGTCCTTTAGTCAGAGTTTCCTGGGTGGGGGTGGGGGGGGCTTGAGGATTCGGGGAAGCAGAAAGACAGTGTAATGGAATGGTAACTGGTATTGGGATTTTCTGAGGACTGATGCAGATAGAATGTTCTTTTGCAGGTTATTCCTTCTGGAATGAAACACAAACTAAAGACTTGCCAGAGAAACTTCAGGACCTGCTTAGCAATGTTTCCAAACTCACCGAAAGAGGCAAACTGAATTTGAATGGTGAGGAGGCTCGGGGAACCTATTGGAGCTTCTCATGAGACCAGAAATGTGTCTCAGGTCTGCATAGCCACATTATGGTTAGGATGGGTGCAACCTGGGGTTGAGATCTGGAGAGGGGCACTGGCAAATCATCTGTACTGATTGACCTAGGTCAAGAATCCCCTAGTTTGAGTATGACGGACCATACTTTACCCTCTTGGAGTTCTCATTTTGGGTGGGGGAAGACACAGCCCTGCCACGAGATGCCCTCAGACTGAAGGGGTGACACAGGCTGCCTGGAGGAATCCTTAGGCTGAGGAAGTAGAGGATGAAGGATGCAATGCAAGTCAGAGAGAAAGTCATCATTCTCCTAAGAGTGAGTGAGTTGGAAATGCTTCCTGAAGTAGAGCCTGGAGCAGAGCAGGGAAGAAGCAGAAAGATGGGATCTCCCCATCCCTGGGAGAGGGAGCAGATCATCTGGGCTTCTCTGTTGAGGCTGTGTGTTGAGGTGAGGATAGGTACAATGGAGAATGGAGGTGATAAGGGAAGGGTGTGTATACTTTAGCTCCATACCCCATCCCAGGGCTTTTCTACCACTGTGGGGACAGACACAGACTAAAGTGGCTAATGTGAAAGTGATGGGGCAGGATGAGTTCTGTGATGTCCCTGTGGTTTCCCCACAGATGTCTCCATCATGGACTCTCGCGAAGAGTGGGGGGCAGAAGCTGTTGACTGCAGCACCCAGCTAGCCACGCCAGTGGACTTCCTTATCATACATCACCTCCCTGGACTGGAGTGTCACAACCAGACTGTCTGCAGTCAGATGCTACGGAAACTGCAGACCCATCACATCCATAACAACAAATGGTGCGATGTGGCCTACAAGTAAGCAACTGGATCTGGGTGGGCCTGGAGGCTCATGGTCAAAGCTGTTCTTCCCATCCTTTCCTATCTCTGTTCTCCCAGTTTTCTGGGATGTGGTTGTTTGATTTCCTATTGACTACAGTATTTAGAAATTCCATAAAATTCCAAATCATCCAGAATTTTCTAGAAGGTCCCTGTCTTTACAATATCTCAAAGGAAACATGGAGACTTAAATGTTGCTTTAATTTCTACCCCTCGCTACCCCTGGTCACATAGTACATCATAGGTTACAAACAATCGTCACATGCATAGTGCACTTGCTCTTGACAACTTTGTGAGGTTATAGGGCAAGTATGACCATCTCTGTGCTACAGGTAAGGGGATGAAAGACTGGGAGGTTGTTTGATTTCATCAAAGTCACGCAGCTGCAAAGTTGTGGAAACAGTGTGGCTCAAACCTATTTCTTTGCTTCTCCTATATTTTCCACACCACATGTATATGGCTTTTACCCTGGTGAGGTGATTTTCCATTTGTTACCCTAGTGACCACTCCAGTAGACCCTGTTTGTGCCTGGTAACACATTTCTTCAGTCTACTTCTGACTTTGGCTACCCAGTGGAGACTTACTGTACATGGTAAGGGCTTCCTGTCTCAAGTGTTCACTGTATATCTTCGCTTTTTTGCTCCAGAAATTTTCTCTAAGGCTCTGGTGGTGTTGTTAGGTGCTGTTGAATTGATTCTGACTCATAGCGACCCTATGTAAAATAGAAGAAAACATTGCCCGGCCCTGAGTCCACTGTTACTGCAATTGTGTCTGTCCATCTCATTAAGTGTCTGCTTTTTTCTAGTCCTTCACTTTACCAACCATGATTGGTCTTTCCAGATAACATGTCCAAAGTATGTGAGATGAAGTCTTGCCATCCTTGTTTCTAAGAAGCATTCTGGCTGCCCTTCTTCCAAGACAGATTTGTTTGCTTTTCTGGCAGTCGATGGTTTATTTAATGTTCTTCACCAACATCATAATTCAAATGCTTCGATTCTTCTGGGTCTTCCTTATTCTTGTCCAGCTCTCACATGCATATGAGACAATTGAAAATGACCATGGCTTGGGTCAGGTATACCTTAGTCTTCAAACTGACATCTTTACTTTTGAACGCTTTAAAGAGATCCTTTGTAGCAGATTTGTTCAATGCAACATGTCTTTTGATTTCTTGATTGCTGCTTATATGAAAGTTGATTATGGATCTGAGTAAAATTAAATCCTTGACAAATTCATTCTTTTCTCTATTTATCATGATGTTGCATCATAAATAAATAAATAATCCAGTTGTGAGGATTTTTATTTTCTTTATTTTGAAGTGTAATCATTTGAGGATTTGTAGTTTTTTATTTCATCAAAAAGTGTTTCAAGTCCTCTTCAGTTCTAGCAAGCAAGGTTGTGTCATCTGCATAACACAGTATTGTAGCTTGCTAATGAGTCTTCTTCCAATCCTGATGCCATGTTCTTCTTCATATAATCCAGCTTCTCAGATTATTTGCTCAGCATATAGATTGAATAAATATGGTGAAAGGATATAGCCCTAACACACATCTTTGCTGATTTTAAACCACACTGTATCCCTTTGTTCTGTTCGAATCAATACCACTTGGTTTATGTACAGCCTCTGCAAAAGAACAATGAATAGTTCTGGAATTTCCATTCTTTTCAATGCCATCTACACTTTTCTATGGCCCATAATTGAATGTCTTTTTGCTTAGTAACAAAATACAGGTAAACATCTTTCTGACATTCTCTGCTTTTAGCCAAGATCCTTCTCACATCACCAATGATATCTGTCATTCCACATTCTCCTCTGAATCTGGCCTGAATCTTTGGCACTTCCCTGTTGATATACCACTGCAAATGTTTTTGAACTGTCTTCAGTAAAATTCCATTTAGGTGTGTTATCAATGAAATTGCTTGATAATTTTTACCCTCTGCCAGATAACCCTTCCTTCACAATGGGCACAAACATGGATCTCCTCCAGTTGGCTGGCCAGGGAGTGCTTCCAGTCCAGCATCCCTTCACCGAAACATTTCAGTTGCTTATCTGTTAATTTCTAGAGCCCAGTTCCTTACCAATGTCTTTAGTGCATCTTGGACTTCTTCCTTTAATACCATCAATTTTTTATTATATACTACACTATGAAAAAGGCTGAATGTCGACCAATTCTTTTTGACATAGTGACTACGTATTCCCTTAAACATCTTCTGATGTTTTTTTGTGCTGTTCAATAATTTGCCCATAGAATCCTGCAATATTTCAACTCAAGACTTGAGGTTTTTTTCTTTCTTTCTTTCAGTTCCTTTAGTTTGAGAAATGCTGAGTGTGTTCTTCCCTTTATGTTTTCTAATGACAGGTCTTTTGCCATTTTATTATAACATTTTACTTTGCCCTTTCAAGCCATCTATTGAAATCTTCTATTCAGCTATTTTATTTAATTATTTATTCTTTTTGTTTTAGCTATTCTACAATCAAGAGCACATTTCAGAGTCTATTCTGACGTCCACTTCGATATTTTCTTTTCTTTCCTGTCTTTTTAATGACCTTTTGCTTTCTTCATGTATGATGTCCTTGTTATAATTCCATAACTCATCTAATCTTCAATTATTATTGTTGAACGCGTCAAATCTGTTCTTTAGATGGTCTCTAAATTCAGGTGATAGATACTCAGTGTCGTGCTTTGACCCTTGTGGACTTGTTTAATTTGCCTCAGCTTCAACTTAAATTTATATTGATGGTCCCTGACCTTATCTAACTCATGATAATGAACTTTTCCATCATTTCTTCCCATTTGTGGTTGCTATTGTTATGTGCCATTGAGTTGGTTCCAATTCATAGTGACTCTGTATAAGGCTTCCGATGAGGAGCTGGTGGGTTTGAACAGCTGACTTTGTGGTTTGAAGTCCATTTCTTGTCTTACAGCACCCACATCAGGAGTCTTCTCATTCTATGTTGCTGTTGTTGTTAATGCCATCGAATCAGTTCCGACCCATAGAGACCCTGTATAGGGTTTCCAACGAGCGGCTGATGAGCTTGAACCGCTGACCTTGCAGTTCAAACAGCTTTGCAGTCTGGTGCATTACCCACAGTGCCACACTAGGACTCCTCTCTTTCTATGTTGTTGTTGTTGTTAAGTACCGTGGAGTTGGTTCTGACTCATAGTGACCCTACACAGGGTTTCCAAGGCTGTAAAACTTACGGGAGCAGTACGCCTCATCTTTCTCCTGCAGAACTATAGATGCAGTTTATTTGAGTCCTGTGTATTCCATCTGGTGAGATCCATGTGTATAGTCCCTGTTTATGTTGTTGAAAAAGGATATTTGCAATGAATAAGTTGGTCTTGAAAAATTCTATCATGTGATCTTCAGTGTCATTTTTATCTCTATGGCTCTATTTTCCTATAACTTGCTCTTCTGTGATTCTTTCTTTCTCCAATTTTCACATTCCAATTGCCAGCAATTAACAATGCATCTTGTTCACATGCTTGATCAATTTCAGACTGCAGAAGTTTGAAATATCTTCAATTTCTTCAACTTTGTTATTAGTGGTTAACACGTAAATTTGAATAATTATTGTATTAAGTAGTTTTCCTTGTAGACATATGGATAGCTTTGCGCTTCAAGATAGGCTTTGAAATGTTCTTTTTGACAATAAATGGGATGCCATTCCTCTTCAACTTGTCATTCACAGCGTAGCAGAGAATATGATTGTCAGATTCAAAAAGTCAATTTCAGCTCACTAATGCCTAGGATATTGCTTTTTATGTGTTTCATTTCATTTTGGCCACTTCCAATTTTCCTAGATTCATACTTTGTACATTTAACATTTTGATTATTAATAGATGTTTATAGCTGTTTCTTTTCATTTTGAGTTGTGCCACATCAGCAAGTGAAGGATCCAAAAGCTTTATTCCATCCCTGTCATTAAGGTGGACTCTATTTTGTTTGTGAAGGGAAATTAATGTTCCCCTAAGACACAAGATTGGTTGGTTGGTTATATACCGTGGAGTTGGTCCTGACCCATACACAGTGACCCTGTATGGGGTTTCCTAGGCTGTAGATCTTTATAGGATCAGAAAGCCTCATCTTTCTCCCATGGAACAACTGGTAGTTTTGAACTGCTGACCCTGAAGTTAGCAGTCAAACTTGTAACCACTACACTACAAGAGCTCCTTGAGCTGTGCTACAGCAGCAAGTGAAGATTCTGAAAGCTTTACTCCATCCATGTCGTTAAGGTGGGCTCTGTTTTGTTGGTGAGGGGAATTAATGTTTCCCTAGGGCACAGGATTAGTTGGATAAATTTTTTTAGCTCTCCAGCCATTCTGTAGGACAATTTGAAAATGAACATACCTGGTTACTCAGTGGGTCACCAGGGGAGGCTGAGCTTCAGTTGTCTACTACGAAGCCAGGCCAACTCTGCATGCTTTGTTGAGTTTCTTCCTTCTGTCTTACTCTTCTTGTTCTCTCAGTCTGACTTCTGATAAGCTGCCTACACCCGAGTCATCGTTTCAGGCATTACTTCATGAGAAGTCCACCTCAGGCAATTTCTCTGTTGGAGCGAAATCAAACGAACACAGATTGCATACATTTTGGAGGAAAGAGGAAAGCCATGTCTAAAAAAACCATAAAGCTAAGAAGATTCTTATGTTGTGTGGTTGGGTTTATTAAGAGGCCTCTTCTTTCAAACATAGAAAATAATTTATATAAAATCTAGGTGTCTGAACAAGGAAGGGAGGTAAAGACTATAGGAGTGGGTTCTTCTTAATTTTAAGCACTATTATCAATAACTTGGTCTACTTTGTTTGGAAAGAGTTAGTACAAATTCTTCTTCATGAACATCGTTTGAATCTTTCTTCTTTTTGAGAATGGGTAAGTGGTTTCCTCTTGTAGGAATGTAACATGGTGCCAGGTATTAAACCTGTAATTCCTTACTCCACAGCTTCCTGGTTGGGAATGATGGTAAAGTGTATGAAGGTGTTGGCTGGAACATTCAAGGCAGGCACACCCAAGACTACAGCAATATCTCCCTGGGCTTTGCCTTCTTTGGCACCAAAGAAGGTAATGGTCACCCTGGCTGACATTTCTTCAAAGGGTTGTCTGCACTCTTCACCTATTCCCTTGTCTCAGTACTCTGTTGTTTCTCACTCTTCTCTGTTGAACCACTCTGTCCAGGAGTCCCCTTCTCCTTAGTCTTTCATGACATGGCATTATAACAGTACTCCTCCTATTGCTCTGCTTTCTTCTCAGACTTTAATGCAAGCTCCTCTTCTTCTGGCCATCTTATAAGTAGAGATGCTCTCCAACTGTCTGTCTACAGTCCTGTTCTCTTCCTGTTCTCACCTAGGCTCAGAGCTTCAACGCTTTCCTCTATATAATGACCTTCTCCTCTGCAGCCCTGACACTTTTATAGAGCCAGGCCATTATTTCCAGTTTCTTGTCACGCACATCCTCCGTTCATCTCTCTTACTTCTAGATTTTCTGTCCAATTTTTAAAAAGCTTTATTGAGGCCTCCAATCCTGAAATCTCTTCTACTTTCTTCTGTCTATTGTTCCTCCTCAAACTCCGTATTGGAGTTTTAGTGTGGTGCTGTAGGATAAGCACTTGACCTCAAGGTTGGTTTGAACTACAAGGTCAATGGTTCAAACTCACCAGCTGCTCTTCAGAAACCCTATACAGGGTTGGTTTGAGTTGGAACTGACTTGATGGCACTTAACAACAACAACAAACTCCATACTAACATACATGCTCTAGGATCATGACATTGAGTGTGTGCACCCTGTACTATAAAACAGAATTCTCGCCTATGCAGTTTCTCATTTTCTTCTTCAAGTACCCTTTGAGATAACCCATATAAGTCTCATGATCCCTACTGCACAAAGGTGCAGTCTGAGGGTTAGAGAGGTAAATGATCCCAGGTAACTCAGCTAACAGGAAAGGAATCAGAACATGAACCCATACCTGTCATGTCTAACACCATCTTTTCAGCAGATCAGAGGACTGTTTGTGTTTATCCTGGTCTTGTTTTTAATATTATTCATTGCAACCTGGGTGTTCACTTGTTAGCTGCAGGCTCTTGAGCAAATTACTTAACTTCATGAGTAATGCACATAAATAATATCATCTACCTCAGAGGTCTGTGGTGAGAATTGAGTTAATTCAGGTACAGAGTCTTATATATTCTAGGGGCCTCTAGAGATGGGAAATCCTGACCTGGACATGTGGGTGCTCCAGAACATTGTGCTGCCTCGCAGTTCTTTCACACAGAGAGGGAGCAAACAAAGGAAGCCTTGGCAAGTTCTCAGGAGAGCTCTTCAGGGAGCTCTGTGCAGGGGGATCCTGGACATTTCAGCATTTTTGACCTGGGAGAGCCTGCTTCTCATTCTTCACTTCAATAGTTATGCAGGGGCTAGCAGGCACCTCATTCTCCCCTTACAGTTCTCCTAAAACTCAGGCCAGACCTAGGTTCCTCATAGATCACTTTCTTCCAGGGCACAGTCCCAACCCCGCTGCACTGTCTGCCATGGAGGGCCTAATCTCGTATGCTGTCCAGAGGGGCTACCTGTCATCCAGGTACCGTCAGCCACTTTTTGTGAAAGGAGAGAACTGCCTGGTGTCTCCACAGAACACAGGTCTTAAAAAAGGTAAGATCTTCAACCCTGCCTTGCCCTACCTCCAGACTCACCCTCTTCTAACTACAATGCCATTGGAAATGACCTCTTCAGTCTGACTCTTACTGGATTCCTCCTGACAGTGAACTTGCTACCTAGCTCTATTCAGCTTCCAGGATGCCTCTTTATCACTTAGAGTCCTAGAATGCTAGAGTCATGGCATTATCCCTGGTGTAATGTATAGACACTCATTTCTTCAATCATTCTACACACTGAGATATACACAAACACACACACAAATTCACACCTTCATGAAATTTCAGTCTTGAAGGTAGAGAAAGAATAAAATACACAAAGAGAATGTTTGGTATTTTATCTGGTGTAAAGGACACATTTCCATATTCACATGTGTATATGCAAATATATCTTTTTTATTACAAAAGCTAGAACAACACTAGTAAACTGAAGGCAAATGTAAGTCACCACTTATACTGATTGACTTGACAGGAAGAAATGGCCATAATTTAAGTCATGAAATGTAGATATGGTTTTGGTCTTAACAAATAACAATATCAAAAATAGTAAAATTAATAAGTGTATTAGCCTTTTGTTGGATTTAGTGTATTTTTTTAAAATTAGCTCTTTTATATTAGGGTACTGAATAAATTTGATCTCTTCATTTGAACTAATGCCATCTGTCAATTTTAATTACCCTTTACATTGACAGATAGGATTATAAATGACTCTTAAAGATACATTTTCAGATGAAAATTAATCTAATTTCCCCATAAAGATCCTATCACATATGTGTACATAAACACATGGAACCCCTCCCCTGCAATCCTGCAGGTAAATAAATGCACTGTGTCCTTGGAATAAAGTATCCATGTTCCCTCAGGGCCAATAATTCCACTATGCTTTGGGTTCTGTTGATTGTATCAAAATCTATGCTTTGGGTTCTGTTGATTGTATCAAAATCTATTGCTCTATGGTTACTGCCTCATGATTCCAATCACTTGGTGCATACAATTGCCATTCCAATGAGTAAAACAGAACCTCATGGAGACCCCATGTGTTGCAGAGTAGAACTAGTCCATAGGGTTTTCTTGACTGCGATCTTTATAGAAGCAGATTACCAGACCTTTCTCCTGTGGGGCTGCTATGTGGGTTTGAGCTATTTGAGCCACAAGCTCAGTGGTCAAGTTCACTAGCTGTTCCTAGGAAACCCTGGACAGGGTCACTATGGGCTGGAACCAACTTAAAGGCACAACAACATCAACAAGTCAAGCACAAACCTTTTGTGCCACCCAGAGACCTAGGTGGGATATTTTGAGAACTTCTGGACTCCCCTAAATCCTGCCCTAGGGTCAGGCCAGGATGCCCAGAGGGTGGTGGGGATGAGTAAATATGTAGGCCTTCAGCAGTGAGATGGTTGACAGATGGGCAAAATGAATCCCCTCCCATGTTCTTTTTGCCTCACTATAGCTTGTCCCAGCATTGTTATGAGATCTGATTGGGAGGCCAGGAAATCCCACTGCCCCAAGATGAACATCCCAGCTAAATACGTTATCATCATTCACACCTCTGGGAGAACCTGCTTTGTGTCTGATGAGTGTCGTGTCCTGGTCCAAGATATTCAATCTCTCTTCATGGACATACATGACACATGTGACATTGGACATAAGTAAGTAGACTGAAGGATATATGGGCTTCTTTCCCCTTGTGTGCAGAAACGGAATGTTCAAAGGAAGGAGAAAAGAAATGAGTATTTACTGAGTGCTCACCATATGAGAGGTACTTTGACACAGTGGCAGCTGTGTTGGAAAGAAGTGGAGGAATTTAAAAAGCTGTCAGAGGTTAATGATTATTAACTAGGATGCAGGAGTAGATAAGGGAGGGTATATTTGGGAAATAGAGTTGACAAGCCTTTTTAATAGGTGGATGAAACAGATGGACTGATGCTCATCTTCCTGGCTGGACCAATGATGATCGGTGGTGGTGCCTTTAACCAGAAAGAAGGGAATAGGTGGGTCCAGTGTGGACATATAAACCTTCATTGTTGTCAAGCAAAGCTAAGGATGTGGGTAGGTTAGTCTTGGGAGAATGTGTTGAGTGAGAAGAGTAGAGGGTTTAGGGCAACATCCTGAGGAACTCCACACTTAAGACCACAGGGAAATGAGATGCAGAGGAGTGGAAGGGAGAGAAGCTAGAAAAGAAGAAAGCCAGGAGACTATGGTGCAATGAAAGCTATGTGACAAGAATACTTGGAGAAAGTGAGAGGGGTTAGCAGAGTCACATGAAAAGGGAGGTCAAGAAAGATAAGCTTGGAAGAGTGTACATTGCATTTAGTGGTAATGATGTCACTGGCCATGTTGGGAAAAGAGTATCCTTGGCATGGTGGGAGAAAGGTAAGGTTGCTGGGATTGAAAGTTATGACTCTCTTCTTCATACACAGTAAGCTATTTGTATGTAGCAGTACTGTGCTAGGAGCTCTGGTAGCGTAGTGGTTACGAATCGGGCTGCG